ATGGCAGCAGCCCGGGGGCCGAGGGAGGCGAGCAGGGAGGGGAGGCAGAAGCAGCTGTTTGCAGACAGGCCCTGCAGAGAGGAGTCTGTGACACCGGTGGGGGGTGGGGGGGGGCGGGCGGGGAGGGGTAAGAGGGGTCAGAGGGGCGCTGGGCCATGCTGGGCCTGGAGCCTCCAGGACCGAGAAGCAGTGACAGGAATGAAAGCAGCCGCGGGTGGGCACTGCTCTGAAGGCTCACACATCTCAACACTCAGACCGTGAGGGGCGGTACTGCCATCGCCCCCCCACCCCACTCCCGTGCCCCCTCACCCTCCAGCTACAGGCGGAGCACTGAGGCCAGAGCAGTCGCACCGGCCCGGCTCCAGCCCGGCTCTGCCACTGTACGCGGTGTGAGCACATGCAGGTTCTCGCCCTCTCTGAGCCTCAGATGGGAAGGTATTCACCCTGCATTCGAGGAAGGAGGGCTGGGGAGCTGGCCGCCGTGGGAGGAGGGGAGGATGGACGAGCGTTAAATCTCCTGCCTGACCAAAGGGGACATGGCGTGGTGGCAAAGCCTTCAGGCCCCAACATCACACAGAGAGTGGGACTCACACTGACGGCCCCATGGGCCGGGGCGGCGGGAGGTTTCCCACCGCCTCCCAGTGGAGCCACTAATCTCTTCAAGGGTCCCTCAATGAACACTCCTTCCAAGTGGATGTTCCCTTACCATGAAAACATACATACCCGCCCCGAGAATCAGCCTCAGCGTTATTAGGAAAGTATGTGAAGCATCCCCATTAAACTGAGAAAGATGATAAAAATGCCTGACAATTTCAAAGACTGTTTTAGAGATACTCGCCAACACGATTGGACAAGAAAAAAAGAAGTGAGGCACAAAAATGGGCACGCAGGAAACAGTTACCATTGTTTGTAAACGGCATAGTTAAACCTCAGAGAAAGAACTGAAAACGTATTACAAAGTCAAGGAACTTTAGTAAGGTGGCTGAGTATGAAGCTCACATATAGCAATCCTTAGGTCTTTTCATCGAAACAGCAGTCGCTTAGGAGATGTTGCGGAAGCAAAGACCCCATTTATAACAGCATAAGAAGAAATATGTAGGAATAAATGCAAAAGATATATATATATATTATCTATATGAAGAAAATTCCAAAACACTATGAAAGAAAATTTGAACAAATGGGGAAACATACCATGTTCTTGGATAAGAATATTTAGTATCATGAAAAGTCAATTCTCCTTGAATTAATCTATGAATTCAACACAATCTCAGTAAAAAATACTAACTGAATTTTTTTGGGGGGTCAGGGGTACTACACAAGCTAATCCTAGAGTTCCTGTAACAAAAGAGCCATGGGAAGTAAATCAAGAAGACTTTAAAACGTATTAATGGGCCCTGGCTGGGTGGCTCAGTTGGTTGGAGCATCAGCCCGCACACCAAAAGGCAGCGAGTTCAATTCCCGGTCAGGGCACATACCTACATTGCAGGTTCAAGTCCCAGTTGGAGTGTGTGCAGGAGGCAACCAGTCAATGTGTCCCTCTCACATCGATGTTTCTCTCTCTCTCTCTCTCTCTCTCTCTCTCTGTCCCTCCCTCCCTTCCACTTTCTCTGAAAAGCAATGGGAAAAAATATCCTCTGGCGAGGATTAACAAAACAAACAGAAAAAAAGATGTGAAGGCAAAAAATTAAAACATAAAAGAAATAAAAAAGAAAAATTTTAATAATCTCAGAGTAGAGAAAGCCTTTCTCAACATAAAACCCAGAAGACATAAAAAAAAGAAAACAAAATTAGATACAATTTGATTACATAACAATTAAAAATTAGTCATGAGGAAAAAAAACATCACAAACTCAGACACACTGAGAAAACATTTGTAATGCATATTTCCTTCATATATAAAGAGTTCCTGTAAATAAACAAGAAGATGGCCAAAAATCCAATAAGAAAATGAGAAAGGACATAAACAGCTAGCTCACGGTAAAAGAAATACAAATGGCTCTCAAACATGTGAAGCAATGCTCAGCTTCACTCACAATAAGAGAAAGACATGCTGCTTCCGTCATATTCCCACTGCTGCTCGGCTGGGAACTCCTCCTCTTTCTTTACACTCATCATGGTCCCCTCCATCAGGCCTGGTGTGTTTTAATCACCTTAAGGAAAGGGGCTTAATCTCTGGGTCAAGAGACCAATCGATATTTGTTGAACAAACAAGGAAGGAAGGAAGGAACTTGGGTCCTGTGGATTCCAGGCCCAAGTACTTTCGGCCTAGAAGCCTTCCGCCTACTTGCCTTCATTTAATTTGTAGCAGACCTGGAAGGTAGGCATGATGTGCCCGTTTCTCAGACGGAAAGGCTAAAGCGCAGAGGATAGAACAGGCCAGAAAGCTGCGTCTCCTGAACTCTCCCAGGTTCCTTCCAGGCCCAGCCACCACGGCAGTGGCGACCCAACAGCCACCCGAGGGGGCGGGGTGTTTGGTCCGCATCCTGCCTCGACGGGCCCCGGGCAGGGCGTGCGTGGCCCGGGGGGCACTTACTTGTGCGCGTAGCCCTCGGAGCTGGCCGTGAGGTTCGCCTGCATCACCGCCTGGAACTCCGTCTCGTTGCAGCAGTATTTAAACACCGTGTTGTTATGGTGACAGCAGAGGATGAAGGTTTTGTTGTCGGAGAGCCGGGGGCAGTGGAAGCCAAAGTGGTAGTGGCCTTTGTGGTCCGTGTACGGCTCACAGACCCGGAAGTGCGCGGACAAGACTGCAAAACAGAGTCGCCGGGCTCGGTGGGGTCCCCACCAAGGCCTGAGCACCAGGGGCGGGGCCTGGTGGGTCTGTCCTAGGGGGTCCAGTGCAAGCCCTCACCTCCGGCAGGAAGGCCCCCCGCCCTCCACGACAGCCCTGCTCACACTGTGTCCCCCAGACCGGGGCTCCCGTGAGCGGGGCTACATCTGAAGCCTCCTGGGACCCTCCCCGGCCGCTCCGCACACAGCAGGCACGTGAGGAGGAAACCTTAACACAGCGGTTCTCAACCTGTGGGTCTCGGCCCCTTTGGTGGTCGAACGACCCTTTCACAGGGGTCGCCTAAGACCATCCCGCATATCAGATATTTACATGACGATTCATAACAGTAGCAACATGACAGTTATGAAGTAGCAACGAAAATAATTTTATGGTTGAGTCACCACATGAGGAACTGTATTTAAAGGGCCAGAAGGTTGAGAACCACTGCACTAACACGTTAAGCGCCAGCCTGTTTTGTCTTCCGGAAGGAAAGTACAGTGCCAGTCACCGGTGACGGACTGGGCGCTTCATGTGTTAACTGTGGCCTCTCCGGCTCTGTCTTATTTAATCCACCTGCTGCTCCGTCAGGTGGGTCTGAGGCCCCACTCTACAGATGCAGAAACTGAGGCTCAGAGGCCTCCAGTGACCTGCCTGAGCTGGTGGTGGTGGTGCAGTGGAAGCCACCCAGGCCTGCCCCGGCTGAGCCCTCTCCACGCCTGCGCTCTGCTGCAGTGAGGCCTGGGGGACCTGCTGACAGGCCCAGGTGTCCTGAGGGGTGAGGAGCAGGCGGGCAAGAACGGCCCCCCTTGTGGAGAAAGGGCACCCCCTTCGCACCTGGGTCTCTACAAAAGCAGCGCCCTCCACCTGAAGGTCCCCAGGAGCCTGCTCCTGCCCCCCCCGCCCCCACCTGTCCCAGTGCCAGCTGCCCCGGCCTAGGAGGGGGCCCCGTTGCCAGCTGTGCCCTGGAGATAAACAGGGGAGGAGGCCTGAGCAGTCGCAACGGGAAAACCCTGGAGCGCTGTCCGGCCCAATTGGTATCTTCATACCAGGGGTGGCTGGATCTAATTTGTACCCTGAGAAGGGCCCCCGTTGGCTGAATGCATCTCTCCAAGCACCCAGGCCTGCTCTGGGCGACAGCCCCTCCAGAGCCGTCTCCCTGGGCGTCTGAGCCTGCAGCCCACACAGCTCCGGCCTCGCTGCCGGGGTCCCTGCTGGGCGCTGGGCCGTGGGCGGCCTGGGCAGCCTTGTGAGGTCTGGGCCCCGCCCCACGTCCAGCACCGTCTTCTGCGGAGACGGGCAGGACCCCTGCGGAGGGGTCCCAGTCTCAGGAGTCGGGGCTCCAGGCCCCTCTCAGCCTCCGCCCTGGGGTGCGGGGGTCACTGGGTGGGCCAGGAGGATGCACCTTCTCCTTTAACCCGTGGGCTCCCGCTGCACAGGGGGAAACTGAGGCTCAGAGCAGGGCTCAAAGTTTGTACCCTCTAAGCACTCGGAACTGCAGGCTCTCGGGGGCGCCCCTGGGCGGCCTCCTGAATCAGAGGCGCCGGGCGGGGGAGGGGTGGGCAGCCCTGCAGGAGGTGCTGACGGGCTTGGGCGTGGGAGCCCTGGCCTAGGGGATGCCATGCCGCAGGGGGGAGTGAGCGGGGGCATGGGGGGAACCGAGACAGAGACAGAGGGTGAGACAGAGAGAGAGATGGAGAGACAGCAGAGAGAGATAGAGAGACAGCAGAGAGAGATAGAGAGACAGCAGAGAGAGATGGAGAGACAGCAGAGAGAGAGAGAGAGAAAGAGATGGAGAGATAGCAGAGAGAGATAGAGAGACAGCAGAGAGAGATAGAGAGACAGCAGAGAGAGATGGAGAGATAGCAGAGAGAGATAGAGAGACAGCAGAGAGAGATAGAGAGACAGCAGAGAGAGATGGAGAGACAGCAGAGAGAGAGAGAGAGAGAAAGAGAAAGAGAGATGGAGAGATAGCAGAGAGAGATAGAGAGACAGCAGAGAGAGATGGAGAGACAGCAGAGAGAGAGAGAGAGAGAGAGAGAGAGATGGAGAGATAGCAGAGAGAGAGTCGACGCCTGACTCAGGTCGGGGCTCGGTCGGGGCTGCTGAGGGGCCAGCCTTGCTGGGGGTTAGGGTGCTCTGGGGTCAGCACTCTGTCTGGAAGCTGAGGCCCGGGTCCCTCCCACCCTGGAAACAGGAGGGAGAGCCCACCTGCCACCCAGGAGGCCGGGGCACCAGGGGTGGGGCCCGGGGTCACCTGCCGGGGTTCAGAGGCTGCCCCTCACTAGCTGTGCTGTCTCTGGCCAGCCCGTGCCCTCTCCAGGCCTCAGTGTCCTCTCTACCCAATGGGGTGCCTACGACCTCCCCTCGCTTGGACCTGAGGGGTGAGGAGCAGAGAGAATCCTAGGAAGGCCTCTCCCAGGCCGCTGGCAGCCACCGTGTACCCGAGCGCCAGGGCAGGCGTGTGCGGCGCGGCACCAAGCAGCAGCTCCTCAGCGGGGGTGCCCGTGGGCACCCCAGTCAGCACCCGGAACCCTGGCTGGGCTGGCCATGGCCCCGGAAGGGACTCCTGCCCCAGGCCTCCCCCTCCCCCGGAGCACCCCGGGGCGCTACCTGCCGGAACCAGCAGCGAGAGGACGGTGAGCACGTTCAGGGACCGCTGGCCACAACTGGTCATCGTTTGGCTTGCATGGGGCCGTCCGGAGCTGCCTGCGGAGCGAGAGTGGAGAGGCTGTGTGGGCGGCGGGGACAGACACGCGCGGCCACAGCGGGGGACGTGGCGGGCAGGGGGGCGCGTCTGCCGGGCGCAGGGGCTCGGCCGTGCAGGATGGAAACGCGCCATCCAATTTCCTTTCTGGAATGAATGACCTTCCCCCACCAGTCAACTGTCACCTCCTTTTCTTTTCACAGAAAAGGAGACTTAATCAAAGGCGGGGGCTCAGGTGGCGGAAAGAACCGTGGGGCGGGCGAGGCAGCGGGCGGGGCGGGCGCGGGGATGAGGGCTGGCTGCTCGGGGATGGAGGACAGCGCCTGCACCTCCGGGTGCACAGGACACTGGTCTCCTGCCGTGTCTCGAACCGTGACTTCCAGGACCCTGGCCACAGTGTGCACCAGGCGGGCCCCGTCCCGGCATCAGGGACACAGCAGTGAACGAAACAGACGCATTAGCACTGAACAGAGGCAGTCCCTGCCCCGGCCGGCACTGTACCGGCAGCACCGAAACGGATCAGCATTTAAAATACACCGAGGGGACACACCCTGAGGACGAGAGCAGACCCCTGTCCACGGTGTTCACAGAAGCACAAGCCACAGGAGCCCAAAGGGGCAAACAACCCAGGTGTCCGTGGACGGGTGACTGGAAAAGCCACAGTGTGGTCCCTCCGGACCACGGCCTAGGATTCAGCCACAGAAAGGAAGGAAATGCTGGCATTGCCACATGGTGAACCGCGAGGACACTGCGCTGAGCGAATGAGCCCGTCACCGAGGGACACATTCCATGGATTCCACTTACATGAGGTCCCTGAGGAGTCGAATTCATAGACAGAGTCGCTGGGGGCCGCCAGGGGCTGGGGGAGGAGGGATGGGGTTGGTGTTTAATGAACAGCTTCCGTCAGGGAAGATGCAAAAGTTCTAGAGACGAAGGTACTCGCTGCCGCCGAGCTGTGCACCGAAAGGGGCTGACGTGGAAAATGTTACGTTATGTGTATTTTATCGCAATAAAAAGGCTAGGAGGGGAATAAAGCAAGGTGTGTGTGTGTGTGTGTGTATGTGTGTGTGTGTGTGTGTGTGTGTGTGTGTGTGTGTAGAGTGCTGACGTGGGGGCTGTTAGGATGGTCTGGGCGGCCTCACTGGGGAGGTGACAGCTGAGCAGACATGAGCGAGGCCGGAACCCGCGGTGTGGCTCTCAGGAGGAGCGTTGCGGACCAGGTCGCAGCCAGTGCAAAGGCCCTGAGGTGGGAGCGCGGGGAGGCCAGTGCAGCCAGTGGGGGTGGGCAGGGGGAGAGGGGGAGAGGCAGGAGGGGATGCATCTTTATAGCACCTACTCTGTGCTGGACTCTGGGCCAAATGGGGCCCTAGTGGCACCCCGTTATGGTGTATGAATTGTGTCCCCCCAAGTTCATGTGGAAGCCCTAACCCCAGGAACCCAGAATGGGCCCTTATTGGGAATTGGGGCTGAGGCAGATGCAATTAAGATGAGGTCACAGCAGAGAGGATGGCCCCACCCACCATGACCGGCTCCTCATAGAGACGCGCGCACAGGGAGGACCCAGGTGAAGACGGAGGCGGAGATGGGGTGACGAGCCCACACGCCAGCAAACCCCAAGGATCACCCCCAAGCTCCCAGAAGCCAGGGCAAGGCCTGGGCAGTCGCCCTGAGAGCTCCCACAGGAGCCAGCCCTGTGACGCCATGACCCTGGGCTCTGGCCTGCAGGCTGCGAGCGCCTGCTTCTGTGTGCGAGCCCCGGACCAGCAGCCCCGGGGAGGGCGCAGGATGCTCGCCGCTCACCTGGGAGCAGGATGTGATGTGAGGGGTGGACCCCCGCAGAGCCGGCTGCACCCGCCTGCCCAGGCTGTCCCCCATCTGCTCAGCGGGTTCCTGTGGGCGCCCTGCCCCCTCCATCCTGGTTCTGATGTCAGTGCCACCCTGTCCCCGCCTTGGTGAGGCCCTCCAGCCCTCCGCGTGGCCCCAGAGATGGGCCCTCGTGATGAGGTTTGCTCTGGGAGAAGAGGCTGAGCAGGGCCACACGCAGCCCCCAGGAGCGGCCCCTCTGGCTGCCCAGACTGTCCTGGGGCACCGGCTCGGGTCCGGCCCGGCCTGGGCTGCAGGGGCCGCCAATCAGCTGGCTTGTCCTCACTCTCAAAAGCTGGCAGCCTGGCAGGGAGCGCAGGGACGGGAGCCAGGCGCAGGCAGCTCAGGATCCTGGCAGCAGAACAGAAAGCCACGGGACAGCCCAGAAGCTGGAGACCTCGGGGCAAGGAGCCCGGCCCAGCCTCAAGGCCCAGCGCAGGAGGCGCAGCATCCGGTCCTGGCCCTGCTCTCGGGCCCTTGGTCTTCTCACCAGCAGCACGGGCAGTGGGCAGTGGGCGGCATAAGGGTACCAGGAGCCCTTCTGAGGTGTGAGCCAGAACAGAAGAGGGGGTGGCAGACCCAAGGCTGAAATACTGAGCCCTGATGAGTTCTCCCGGTGAGTGCTCCTGGGGGAGGGCCCTCCTGTCTCTCCACAGGCCTCCCCGCTCTCCTCTGCTCCGCCCGCCCGCACCCCGCACCCCGCACATGCACACGGAGCCTGCTCTGCCCCGCGGGCTGTAAGCTGCTTAAATTGCTCTGAGCCTGGGTGTTCTCCTGGCCTCCCTTCAGGGCCCTCGGGGAGGGAGGAAGGAGATTAAAGCATTTG